AATCTTTTACACTTAAGACTTCAGGAAAATAATCATTATCTATCCTTCATATTCATGTTTAACTGTTAATAAATTAGAAGGTTATATGTTCCTATTTTATCATGGTATCAAAGCCACTGCGTTATGGCTCTAACTTGCATCTACAGATGCTTGTTCACTAAATTCTAGCGTGTGAAGACATGATCTCATCTGCCACCTCCTCCTCTGCTTACCCTGCGGCTGAATCAAGCAACAACGATATGATAGAAGTTCAATTCCCCTCTTCTCTAAAGTTTCTTATAAATAATATCAAGAATATTGTTCATCATCAACTAAACTCTGATAATCATCCCACTTGGAGAGCTCAAGTCATCAAAGTTTTTAAAGATAATGGTTTCCATGGCTTCTTGGATGGATCTACACTGTGTATGATAACCATCCCACATGAAGAGTACAAACACTGAGGTTTAGGTCACTCCAAGATGATATTTTTCTCAGAGCACCACGACTCCAAGTAGCAGCAGTGACAGTAATATTGCATTTGATTGAGTTTTAAGACTTGACGAGGTGGTGCAAACACTTCAAAGTGAGGTGAGACAATTTATGCAAAATTATCACGAATAACATCCACCACCAGGAAACTCAACTATGATATGTGAAATTAAAAATTAGATATTTTAATTTATAGATTTATGTATCATCTTCATTTTAACTAATGACTTCTATATTATTAACATGGAGAAAATGATCAATTTTCACCTAATTGACATCCAAGGTATAGAAGAAGGAAAGACAAAATATAAATGCTTATGTAGGCCAATGTTTTGTTTTGAAATGTTATAAACATTTTAATTTTATGTACGACTCTTGGTAGTAATATATATTTTGAGATATGACAATATATATTTTATTATCTAAAAAGTTGAAGCGCTTGATTTTACTTAGCCCAAATTTACTAATATTTGTGATCCATGTTTTCTGTTTTCATGCTCGAGCAGCTAGATTGACGAATTTTTATTACGTCCGGATAAAAAATCAGAAATTCGGACGTACACCGAGTGCTCATTATCGAGTTCCAGGTGATGTGACACGTGGTTATTGACCTTTGGATGCATTTGGTATCGACGGGGTCTAGGCAGGAGATTGCTCATGGATCGAAACCAGAGGAGGACGGGGAGTAGGGAGGGTTGCACGGGAAAAGGAAGTCACCTATGAATAGTCTAAACTGCCCCTTTTGATCGCTCTCAAAGGACTTCAAAATTACGATCTTGTCCTTGCAAATTAACGGTTGAAATTGAATATTGCATTTAAAAGATGTTTGAAGATTATTTTTAATAATGTATTAAATTATAATAGCAAATATGGTTAAACTATAAAATTAAAATAGTTCAAATTAATCAATTTAATCCTGTTAATGCTGATTTAATTTTGATGGGTTTGAAACGAGTCGATTTAACTCAAATCAAAGTCTATTTAACTCGGCATAACGTTGATTTGTGTCAACATGCTTCAATCAATGCCGATTTGCCTCCAATCGATCCAAGACGCATCAATTTGCACTAATCAGAGGTACTAAGGATAAATTTAACTCGATAGCGCACTAATTTTTGTCAACACGCTTCGATATATGCCAATTTGCCTATGATTGCTAAAAATTTGAGTAATTTTTATTTAATTAATTTCGATTTTGTAAAATCGGGCCCGATTAATGTCAAATTTGATGAATTGAGTCAAATTCGTTTCAAATGGCTTTAACTACCAATTTGTTCATATTATCCAGAGTCAGGTTATACAATGCCTATCATACATGTTCCAAATTGAAATCGAATTGAGCCCAAATAAAATGAACAACATTTGATTACGCTACTATACTTAGAATTGAATTGGATTTTAGTCAAAATGAGTTCGATTTGGGTTGAATTATGGGGTCGAGTCAAAGCTATGTCTTTGGGCATCCACTTAAGTGAAAATAGTATTAGTGGGTATGTCTATACAAGACTATGAAGACCTACACACGAGGGATAAGCTAAGGAAATTGATCTCATTCAAAAAGGGGGTCAACATGGCGGAACCATAATGGGGCCCCTAAGGGCACGTGCCCCCAACAACAACAACAAAACAAGCGTTTGTCCCCTAAGGGCACGTGCCCCCGGTGACTAAATTTTTTTTTATTGTTCGTTCAATTATGATTATTTTATTTATATAAAAAAAAATATAATACATACCTACAAATATCCTACCTGGCTGCCCAAGTCCCTTTGCTCTCCAGACTCCATCTCCATGTCTGTATGAGGATTATAATTCATGCATATAAAGAGAAGCATAATATTAAGTTGTGTTGCAGAAATGAGGATGCTCAAGTCGATGAGTGGCTTTACTCTTAGAGACAAAATATGTGAAATGTGCATACAAGTGAAAAGATTGGAGTAGCTCTAGTGGAAGATAAGTTAGAGATAATCACCTTAAATATTTATAAATATACATATAAGTTATCCTAAAATGAGTACATATATAGAGATTATTTCGTGCACATAAGATTTAACTACTACCTAAATCATAATAAACGCTTACATTCAACACAAATTAATTATTTATTCTTCAATTATAGTTATATATAACATTGGCTTACTATTAATATTTATAAAGTTCAAATATTAAAAATATTTATGAATAATTATAAAATTTTAACTTTTAAACATAGACCTTTATAATATTCTTTAGATTCCTAAATGTATAGAATACTAACTTATCTATTCATTAATATTTGAATATTGTCAATCACTTGAAAAAATTATTTTAAGAATTACTGATTTCATGTCTACTTCAAATTGGCAAACATATTTTTTATTAAATATTATTAAGATGCAGTTTTATTTATCAACTATCACATTTGATTCAACATTACTATATTTAAATACAAATTATATCTATATTTCAAAACAAAATATAAAATTAAAACCAATTAATTTGACTAATATTTAATATCAATGAAATAAACTATAATTATAATCTCTAAAATATTTTTTGAAAATATTAATAAATCAAATAATTAATATTTTTAAAGAAATAAAAAAATGATATTAGATATCTCATTGAATTAAATAGCCAAATAAATATACACACATAACATATATATGCCCTAAAAATTTTTGATTTTGATGAATTTGTTTTTGTTTTAATATAAGAACAAATTAATATTTAAATGTATTATAATATATCAGTTGCTATTTCAAATTAATTTCAAATTTAACCATTTTAAATTTCAGATTTAAAATACCCGAAACTGATACCACTATACCAATTTACCGGGTCCAACCCGAAATTAACTTAACTTCAATCTGTCAAATCAACTATATTTAATGCATATATTTAAGACGACTTTCTTACTACTTCTTAAAATATATTTTTAGTAAAAGAAAATAAATTTTTAACTAAAAATTACTTAAAGCAGCAATAAAAAAACCACCACAAACAAAACCTTAGAGAAACAAAAAACAAAAACAAAAGAAGAAAAAGCAAGGATACATTTTGTACAACAAAATTATCATCAAGCATTATCAGTGTTAATGCATAAATAAAATTTAACTGAATCTTATGGAAGCCAAGGGTTTGTTTCACCTACAAATATTTATTATAATTAAATCATTAATCAGTATTTCAGATCCTCTCAAATCAAATGTAAAAATAAAATATTAAATTCGCCACATTTAAATTTCTTAAAACATATGAAATACGTAAATAATTAACCCAAATGCATATAATAAGAAGACAAATTCATGTTGATAATAATTCCCAATATCAACAGTATGTCCATCATCAAGGGAAGGGGAGGAAGAAAATGGAGCACCTAACTAGTAGAGGGAAGAAACTAACCTTTTCCACACCCCTTAAGTCAAGAATTGTTTCTTTCTTTGTTGCCATTCCTTGTTATCAAATTAAGTTTAATTTTATTTCAGTATTATTGAAATTTATGTATTGTTGAAATTTTCAAATTTATTCATCATGGACACAAAAGTCTGCTACACCACATTAATAATCCAAGAAAATACTACTAGATATGCAAAGTGATTAATATATTGATTGAAGATGATAATAATATCACCTTACTGCTCTAATTCCTTAGAAATTTTATTCACAGTTGGTTCATTATGAAACAATTTACATCATTTCAAGCATTATAGCATAGAACAAGCAATAGAAGAGGTGGAAAAAATTAAAAAGATACCAAGAACCACATTTAAGCAAAGCAAATATCCTAGATCTTCATTTAATACCTCCATACACGACATTGGACGTACCAAAATATCCAAGAGACCTCAGATCTAAAACTGGAAATAAAATTTCCAAGCACAAAAATTTGAAAATCATAACTTGAACTATAATCTAACAATACAAAGGGTAGCAATATACAATACAAAATATAAACAAGGCCGAAGTATCGGTTTCTGCACATTTACAAGCACACGAACAACAAAAGACCAAGTAACTTATAATAGAGATTATGGAATAAGCAACTTTAACAATATACACCAAAACTTCAAATCTGGAACTGATATGTTCAAGCTGATAAAAATAGGAGCAAAAAGCAAAGAAATTTACGCATTGCCTAACATCAATGTACACATCCACAATGCCACAGAAAGAGGTGAAAACGTGGCTAGCAAAATAAGCACAAAATCTATTGTTAGTATGTCCTGAATTTGCATTCAATTTTTTTTCTTGCAAGTGAATATGCACTGTTAATTCTTATTTGTATTTCAAATTATTGTTTTATTTTTGCAGTCCTTAAAGTTACTATATGTCATTGTTGTAATTTACTTAGATGGGGAGAAGGATAACGTTGAGGAGACCCTTCAGTTTGCTTGGTGGACGGCCTTATCTCTTCAACATCAAATAGGATTTGATCATTCGACGCATTAGCTGCATTGACTTCCTGGAAGTCAATGCAGCTAATGCGTCCAATGATCAAATCCTATTTGATGTTGAAGAGATAAGGCCGTCCACCAAGCAAACTGAAGGGTCTCCTCAACGTTATCCTTCTCCCCATCTAAATGAATTACAAAGACATATAACAACTTTAAAGGATGTAAAAATAAAACAACAATTTGAAATAAAAATAAGAATTAACCATACATATCAACTTGCAAGATAAAAAAAAAAGTAGTAGGAATGCAAATTTATGACATACTACTGAACAAGCCGTTTTGGTGATTGCTTTTATATCTTCTTTTCTTGTCCATAGTCTTGGCATAGAATCAGAATCACAACTAAATTTTGTTTTAAACCTGTAAACATATTGCATAAAATTAAATAAATTTAATATATGAAATCTTTCACAGATAAGACTTCAAGAAAACAATCACCTGTCTTTCATATTCATCAAGACCCTCCCAGCTTCTTCCTTTGTCTTAGATTCAACAATGCTTTTGACATATTTTTCTAGTTTTGCAACCAACTTTTTGACAATTGTCTGATAAATATTAAATGAAGAAAGGGTTGAAGCAAAACCAACTAAAGTGGTCATTCTCTCAAGATGAAGAAATCTTCTAATTGCTGACCACTTTTCATCAGTAGCATCATCTAAAAGATATTTCACATGCTCGAAAAGTTCCTTGTTAAGTTTTCCCTGTATGAAAAATATAAGGAAGCAATAAACACATTTTTCTATGCATAAACTCATCAAGATGATCATAATTTCATTGAAAAAAATTACAATAGATAAGAAATTTATTCACCTTCTAAAACTAAAAGGTACTACATCATACCTCATACAATGACGTGAGCTCAAATAATTTTTTCGCGCGAGCTAAAATAGCATTTAAATTACACCAAATCATCTCTGTGCTTTTGAAGTGTCCACAATTACTTGTTCAGTGCCTACATGTATATTTTAACATCAAATCCAGATCAGCATTCTCCAATTATCAATCAAAAGAAAGCTAAAGAAGTATTACTAAGGAAAATAAAACAACTACTTGTTAAAGAAACCATAGAAAAAAGCCTCAAACTATTGCCTCAAAGTCATATTAATACATATTTTGACAATAACTAGTTTAGTATGATGTTTGACAAATTTCTAGCTAACTACCTTTGTAACTTTCATCGAATGCGAACATAAGCAAATCAGAGTAATCCTTAGCAATAGCTGCAAATCCTTCCCTAGATTCCAGAGCCTTCTCAAATCTAACTTTAAAATCTTCTAAAGTTATGGATCTTAGGTGCCCCAACATGGAATGGCAAGCAATTTTGAACAAACTGCAGTTAGAAAATTTAAAAGGTATTATATAACAATTAAGAATGCCAAGTTGAGTCATATTACAATCATTTCAAACAACTCTTGCAAGATAATATAAGAAGCTGCAAAAAGAAAAAAACAATGAAATTGTAGAAATCAAAACAGACCAGTCATTATGAAGTGTGTATTTCAAATGTCTATCATATGATGGCATACACTTTCTTCTCAGAATTATGGCAGATGCAATAGAGGGCTGTCTAAGTATAACTGTTACCTATAAACTCAAATCTAACTTTAAAATCTTCTAAAGTTTTGAATCTTAGGTGCCCCGACATGGAATGGCAAGCAATTTGAACAAACTGCAGTTAGAAAATTTAAAAGGAGTTATATAACAATTAAGAATGCCAACATGGGTCATATTACAATCATTTCAAACAACTCTTGCAAGATAATATAAGAAGCTCCAAAAAGAAATAGAAAAAGAAACTGTAGAAATCAAAACAGACCAGTCATTATGAAGTGGGCATTTCAAATGTCCAACATATGATGGCATACACTTTATTGTCAGAATTATGGCGAATGCAATAGAGAACTGTCTAAGTATAACTGCTGCCTATAAACTCATATCATTGAATAAACGGACAATGATCTAGTGGATATTTTGAATTTCTACATACATATCAATTTTATTTACTGGATGGAAGAAATCAATGACCCAAAATAATTCCAAAGTTCCATACTTACACATACATATATGTTCATAAAGCTATCTGATTATATACTTAAGTGGCAGCAGCTATCCATATCAAAGAAGACCAATTCATTGACATTTATATAACTTTTCATCAAACAAATCTGTTAGGCCACAACAGCAGCAAATCTGGTTGGTGAGGTCGAGTCGGCAATGTTGGCAGCGGGTGTGAGAATAAGGTTGGAGGAGGCTCGGCGTCGAGAGGAAGTGGAAACCGGTCGAGAAAGGCAAGGGCTTCGCCTCTGCGTATCAGAGCCGACGGGAGTGTATGGAGGACTATCTTGTGAGGATTGCGGCTTGGAGGCGTCTGAAGAGGGAGAATCCGTGGGGAAGAGGGGCTTCCAGCCTCTTGTGCATTACAAGGAGACGGAAGAGAGGGGCTAGGGCGAACAGAGAGCAAAAGAGACGAAGGGAGGAAGAGGGCTTCGGCCTCTTCGTATGAGTGTCCCCATCAGAAAAGCGAGAGAGAGTAGGTCGGCTCTTGAGGAGTGCGAACCACAGAGACGAAGGAAGGGGAAGAGAAATGCCCCCAGAGGCGTCGCCGCGTCGGTATCTCCATTCTCCGATGCGGCGATGCTTCTTCCGCCCTCTGTTTCCTTTAAACACCAAAATAGAACTGCGCCGCTCAGTCGCTGCCAAAAGTCGCTTGAATCGACTTCAAATTAAGTGATCACGCGACTGTAACACGCGATCGCGGGCAGATTTGCGTTTTCCATGCAATTAGAGCAGTCGAAGCAATTCTGAATTTAAAAATACACTCAAATTCATTTGAAAGATAATTTGACTGATCATTGAACAAATTGAATTGATTTGGCTCGAATTTGAGTTTGAATCAGGCTCTATTTTGCTCGGTTCCTGTCTATTTGAGTTCAATTTAATTAGATAAAATTGAAACCAAAATCAACACTACTTTGGGTCAAATGAGGTTTGACGCGGCCGATATAAATTGATTGGGGTTTATCGAACGCAGTCGAGTCAAATTCGACTTGGTCTGAGTCAATTTGAACTTGGTATAATTTGACTGTGGCAATTTAATGAACTCAAGTTCAAATTAACGCCGCCTCGACCCGAATTTAGCTCATCGTGGTTCAATCAAGTCAATCGAGTACGATCGGACCCGCTCGGGCCCATAGGAATGTACACGCACTATCAAAGTATTCTATATCAGTATCAAATCAATATCTTAATCACATACTCAATATATCACTTGCCCAATATTAGTACAGTAAATCAATATTAGTACAATGAATTAATAGTTGTATCGAATAATATCGATATCCGTATCAATAGCAGATCGTTAGTAAAATTGGTAGCATTAATATAAAAATAATATAGTAGCAGTAAATCCATACAATAATAGTAAATCAATAAACAATAATAATAAAGAATGAAATCATATAACAACATTAACAATGAATCAATAACATGCATTTTAGTAGTCATACTAAACAAGAAAAAAATTTAGTTTAAGTGATGTTTTCCAATAAGTTGTAATATGTATCAAGATATTTTGGCTCAGTAAATAGAGTCGCCACTTTTTGTTCATAACATAATAATAACTTCTAATAACTCTCAATCAATATTACATGAATCAGTAAATAATAACTTGAAACTACATAATTTAAAGAAAAACTCGTCGACCACCCACCATCTTTTACAGATCAGTTAGTCTTCAACCAACTTTAGTGAAACCAACTTTTATTTGTCCTAATTCATATTATTATCACAGTACTATAATAATAACAACGACCAATTATTATTCAACCACATCCCCCATTCATTTTCAATGATTGTACTAATAATATGCTAATAGTAAACATATCAGTTATTCAAACAGTGTAAACAATACAAAATATAGAAACTTCCATTTTATCTAAAAAATTCAATAAATATTACAGTACAAACATCTAAGATCATCAATATATTAAGTTACAAAAATTTATGCAGTAAAAGTTTAATAAACTTGAGAAAAAAACAATAAAATCAATATTGGAGAGAATCAAACAACTATACATCAAAATATTTAAAAATAGATATATGATTAAAATCACCTACAATGATTTGAGCAAATTTTTTACAAAAGTGGCAAAGCGATCCAATCGTTAAAAATCTACTTTTTCCCTTTCTCTTTGATGTGCTATAATTTAAACAAAATTTAGTTTTTTTTTTTTTCAAAGTATAAATTAATTTTGAGGGTGGGTAATTGCCTGCTCTTACCCAAATTTTGTTCCACCCGTGGTTTGGAGATCTAAATAACACAAAGTTTACTCAATGTTCAATATCGATAATCACTACTAGCAATCACTATTATTCGACCCCCCCCCCCCATTCTTAGCCACAATCATTTGATCAACATTATCCAATCACAATCACTAGATTATGGTACCTTGACCACTGTTGCTTAATTGGAATCTCTTAATTATCCTTGCACGACTACAGTTTCCGGAATACTATTGTTAAACTTACGTTGCTCAAATCACACACACATATGATGTGAACGAGAGAAATAAAAAGAGGTACCACTTAACAATTGTGCGCCCGAGCTAGATCGTGATGGGAGGGAAAACAAGCAATTGAATCTTTTTAGAGCAAAATGTGTGTGTGCATGCGTGGGCCGGGGGGGGGGGATAGTCAATGCCTCAAAATCACCCTAATTATAACTAGAAATTAATTTTGACGGTGGGAAATTGCATGCCCTTAGAAAAACAATGTTGTGCTTGTGGTTTGGAGATCTAAATAACACAAGGTTTACTCAATGTTCAACATTTATGGTCACTACTAGGAACCACTATTATTCAACCGCCCATTCTTAACCATAATCGCTTGATCACTATTTTTCAATCACAATCACTCAACTATGTTACCTTGACCATTTTTGCTTAATTTTAATCTCTTAACTATCATTGCACGACTACATTCCCCAGAATACTATTGTCAAACATGTGTTGCTCAAATATATCTTCCCACTACTATTGCTCAACCATCCTTGCCTGCCATTCCTAACATTATTGATGTAAACCATAATGAATAAGGATAAGTGTCATCAACACAATTCCTACTCCTAATACCAACACCAATATTTACTGCTGTGGTTGTATTATTTTCTTGCAAAATTGATGGGAGATGCTTAAAATGATGTTTAATGTTGATCCAAAATTTAAAGTATTTAAGATGCTTAATTTTCCTTAGAATGATTGGTGGAAAAAATATTTTTATTACATTCTTAAAATTTCACTTGGAAATGAAAGTAGACATCTTTAGTGAGATTTTCACCAAGTTTTGTTATTTTTTGATACTTTTTTATAAATTTTTAGATGTTAGGTAGAGAGTAAAATCTGGATAACAAAAATTAGGCTTTGGAGTTTTATGGTTTCGGGCACAAAATAGTAAAACTAAATGAAAAATCTATGAGAAAATTGATATATTAAGTATGTAAATCAATCCTGAAAATACTTCAGAAGGTTTAGACTAGGTTTGATCCACTAAATGTTGAAGAGAATCCATCTAGGTCACAATTTCTTCAACCTTGGCTGGCCACTTAAAAAAAAGGAAAACATGGGGAAATGTGGTTAGGAAATTCAAGGAAAATTTATATTTACAACACTAAACACCAAACAACATTCTATTCAAAATTTATAGAAAATTAAATATAATTACTCACACAAAGATTAGCACATAAACTCACCAAAGTCAAGTGCAAGAGAGAATAATCTCCAAACTATGTCATTGGATTAAGCTGCCAAGCTTTCTCCCTTGAATCAAGATATCATTCATTCTCCTTCAAATTATGAATTTTTTTCCATATCAACAAAAGCAACCACCTTTTCAATCTCGAAGGGAGTCTTAAATACATTATACATAAGGTAATTCAAATTAGAGCAGGGGAAGGATGGACGACCACTTCAAATGTTAACCACCAATAAATCCTTCTCCACTCCTCTGGCCATCCACTACGTGTTGATAAAGATAACAAAAAACACTTCACGCTCACTTGGCCAGTCATTACATCAGCTCACACTCACACATAGACACATGGGAGTACTCAAGTCCATACTAGTGCACTCTAAATAAACTAAAGCACAATTATAATATAAATATAATAAAAATGTTTAGCACATAAAATAAATACAAACAGCATGAAATTCCTAAGTTTTCTTTATCTGGTTATTGATAATAAGTTCATTTCTTTCGAATATAGTTCTCTTGGTTTGCATTCCGATATCGAGTCTACCACTTGGTGTAGGTTCTACACCATTTGTGTTGGATTTATTAGTCTTAGTTCCATCTCCTTAAAGGAGAAATATTGAATATATCTCAACCATCTCTTGATGATATCAACACTCCAACTTTCATTATGTATTCCATCATCAATAAATTATATTTACTATATTATATTAAAGTCTTAACAAATTAAGATGAAGAACATCATTTGAGACATATAATATATATTAGTAAACCATTTCAACTAGAGTATATATCATGAATTTTACTTTATAGATTTTTCATGTGAATGATTTTAATATCTCTTGTAATATTCTTTTATATGCATATAAATCAAATCTTTATATAGAATTAAAATATTCAAAATCCTATCTCTAATTTAATATCATATTATATATATATATACATGTAATAATATAATACATCATAAATCAATTAAAATTGTTGTGCTCATGGTATTTGTTATTGTTTATTCACCAACGTCGGCGGCAACATCATCCAAAGAACTAAACACTTATGACCCCGTAGCTAGCCCGCTCTTTTTTTTTTTTGGAAGAATTGTGGGCTTAGCCCTTTTTCATATAATGAAAGATGCTTACATGTGTAACCTATAAAGGAAGCAAAATCAGCAGCAAAAAACTAGAAAAGACTACTAGGAGCTAGCTGAACAACAAAAACAGCAGAAACTCCTACAAAATACAACTACAAAAACAATAGAGAAGCCTCCAAAAAGCTGTCTGCACAACAATCAAGGAATCTCCCCACTCATGGGCTCAGGAATTGCCAATGCTCTGACAACCTGGTTGTAGAAGTCGCCAATACTGCCATCCAAAGGGAGAACTTAGGCAATCCAGTCATCAATGCCCAAAAACAGCAACAACACAAGCACAGAAATCCATTGCAGCAGCAGAAAAATGGCTCCCGATGGCACACCGGCCAAAACTAAAGCAAATCCAAAAAAGAATGACCATTTTTCCATTTTAGAATTTTAGCAAATACTGCACTCTTAATTTTGAGGCCCATAGTAGTAGATGAAGCATAAGAATCATCAAACTTTCTTTCATTTCTTTCTCTCCATATATGATAAATAGCACAGCAAATAATAAGATGATAAAGAGGCGTGATCTTGTGATTAGGATCAACAATGCATTCAAAAGCTTGTAGAATATTGGGCCTAAGGAATTGATTCTTCATACTCGGTATGAGAATAGCCAGCACATAAAATGAATAATTACATTCAAAAAACAAGTGGGAGATGCTTTCATTTTATTATGACAAAGGCAACAGGTATTCTCCACCAAAATACCCCATTGATTCAAAATATCAGACGTTTTAAGCCCACCCCAAAAAGCCATCCAACAAAATACTGAGTATCTCAGTGAAAAACGTTTATGCCACACAAAATGATGCCAGGGAACCATAGGATCATTAATGTATAGGAAACTAATGAAATTGCTATGCTTAACATTACCATCTCCCCAAG